ACACACACACACACACATATATACATTACATCAATGTATATACACATATACATATTCAATTAGTTATATTATCTAATAGATTCAAATGTTAATCACATTTATTATAGACATTAATGCTAAACAATAATTGAATTTAAATTTTGAATTTAAATTTTTATATGTGATAGAAAATAACTCATCTACCTGATAACATCTCTACTTTTCTGAAGATATGAAAAGACAAATAAATATATGAACAGTTTTTGTTATTCCATTCAAAATATTTTTCGCTTTCCGTCAGTAAAAGAATTTTAAGTTTATTGTTAGCATACACAAAAAGCATATACTACAAAATTGTAAGCATGTCAGAATTACAGAAAAAAAGAGAAAGAGACAGACAGATAGATAGATAGATAGATAGAGAGAAAGAGAGAGAGAGAGAGGCTAAATAAATTTAGGAATGTAATTTTTATTTGTTAGACCTCGACGGTTTATAAGCAATAAATATAATTCACGCCTTAATTTATATCTGATGATATTTTATTTGGATCAAATTAAATTTGATACATGCACTCAGTGAAAGGTGTTATCAGGGGACGAGAGAGTAGCTGATGTATGTGTCGAAGAACAAATTAACGAGTTGTTTAGATCAAACATTCTACATATATATATAGAATTTGATCTTACCCTTACGTTCTCCGACTATACAATCTCGAGAAAAATTCTCTATACTCTCGTCAAACTTTCGTTCAAACTGGAGCTTTGGTTGGAGCGTTTTTTCCAATTAAATCTTCCTGTCGCACAGCGACATAGAAGTCCTACTGTATTCACAGAATAAAATACACGTATAATAGATACACCGCATTTCGACACCTGTCGATATTATCGTAAAAGTTTTTTTAACATTCAGAACTTTTTTAAGAGCTTCACGTTGAACATTATATTTGTAAGCTCATTCCTTCTCTTAATGATTTGTTTTTCTTTTTTTTTTTCTTTTTTTGTCACACGAAACGATTATCGGTCTTGTTCGATCGCTCTAAATAGTTGCATTGATTCGGCTTAGTCCTACTTACATGGTACAGTATTGTTTTCCGCGAATGCAACAAATTAGGTAAACACGAAGTTTCACTGTTGATTTTGACCGAATTGTTTCTTTTAAATCTCACCGATTAACTAGATAAATTATTCGACAAAAATTTCTTGGAATAATAAAACGTTTGATAAATATTACTAAGTGATATCTAAAGTACCATATGTCTCTCTTAGTAGTATATTTATGATGAATTTAAAAAACAATGAGATATCGGTCTCGTGGAACTTCGTATTTGCCAAATCAGAAAATGTAAAGCGAACTCAGTCTTTGGTTGGAGCGATCAAACCTTGAAGATTTTCGACGTTTCATTTGTAAAATGGCTATTGGGTCAATATTTTTAACATTAATAAATTTTATATAAAAATCCATGTACCACTATATTTCGTTTAAAGCGTTCCAACTAAAATAAACAAATGATTTATACAAGTACATTCTTGGAAATATTTTTCCGCATAAACTCTCGTCTTTCTCAAAATCATATGACGGAAGATATTTTCTTCATTTTGTGCCTGAATTTTGCAAAACAATGTAAGACATAAATGTGACAAAAGAAACAAAATAATGTAAAAGAAATATAGAATAAAATTTGATTGAATGTTTGCGAACATGTAATTAAGAGAAATGTAAAAAAGCACTTCACGTTCAATGATGAGTTTGAGGAAAACGAGAAAAATAATCAGATACCTAAAGTATATACAAATGTGGCAGAAATTAGATTTCACAAAATGTTATGTAATATACAGGCGAGTGAAATTCTTAACAAAATAATAAGTCCTATCCAGGATAAAATTCTTTATTACTCCTCCTCTAAAATCGTCCCGAATTCATAAATTTTCGTACACATCGCTGTGCGCCTACCACAACAACATTAATTACAGTTATTTTTTAGTTAATTACCTAAAAGTAAGAGATACAATAAGCGTAATTATTTTTATATGTACAATATATCTTTTTTGTTTGTTTCTTATTATGATTTCATGAAGTCTCTAGAATTTGCAATATTTGCACCATTATATTTTATTTCTCTCTTGATCTCGTATTACGGCTCGCGAAAGAACTTTTTTATTGCATACTTGGAAAAAATTTCTATGTTTCAAGTCTGGAAAATAAATGACTATTTGAAACACTTTGCCATGGCCATTTGTAATACACCTAAATTATAAATCTTCAGTCCAAGTGGCTAGGATATTTATCTTGATCAGTGCCTACAAATTTAATTAATAAACAAGTGTTGCGTATGTGGATGTCCTTCTTTAAATAATAAAAATTATGTGACAGATACTCTTGATCTTCGTCAATTTAAAACTCATATATTTAATGTATTATACAGTTAATGTATATCAGTTTTACAGGTATCCTTCCTATTAGCCACACAGAAATATGAAATGTGTATTTATACTAAAGATCTTTTTTTTCAGATAAAACAAACACTTATTTCATATTATCAATTTTTAAATAAAAACATCTTAGAATCTTGATATTGTCAATTTTCTTGCTAACTTATTTTTTGTTGAATGCTTATATTTTAATGTAATATCTCAATACATAGTTACATGGAATGGGAGACAATGCAGAAAGACTAAGAGGAAGAGAATAATGCACATAAAAATGTGCACAGATTCAATAACTATTTCATGTAAGTTTTATCTAGTGGTAATTAAACTCTTCTTTTCATCTGCAAAATTACGTAACAAAGTATATGGATTATATACGAGCAAGTGTCAAAATACCTCGATCTCAATTTTCACATAGTTATACCAGTAGATTCCAAAAACTATTATATTGTTTACAATAAAATATAGATACATAAACAACTAAATCTTTTTATGACTCATTGATACGACGTTATATGTTTGATTTAAGCAGGAAGTTGATACTCATTTATTTGAAGCTTAAACATAGACTTAGCTATTATTATAATATTTATGTAATATGTTTAGTTATTTTTTTTGTAAAGAATTCTACTGGTATGAATATACACATATAAGATATACCCATTTTTCCCAAATACTGTTACTTAAATCTTGCTATAAAATATTTAAAAAATTAATAACACGCTATTTTAGGCATATGCCAATTATTTGCATAAAATTAATAATCAATTTACTTTGAAGCTAATTCATAAATTTAATACATCATTATGGAAAAAAGATAGATTCTTTCATATTTTGTATGGCAAATAAATTCATTAATTGTTATTCTTATTTTCACAGCTTGGAATTATTAAATTGAAAGACGAAAATTCTTACATGTTCCTGGTAAATATTATGAACCCTAACCATAATGTCATGAACTAGTCAGTTTGTAATATAAATTTTTGTGGTACAAGCTTCTCAAACGCAACATTAAAATTTATATTTATATATTATAGTTACACTGAATTATAGCTAATTCAAAATGTGTTATTAAAATAGAAATACTTCTCAGCCATAAAACAATCAGAATCTTTTTTTCTCTATTATATGTTAATTTAAAAATTATTACTGTTAATAGTTTATTATTTCACAGCCTGAAAGCTTTTAATGTACTGCTATATATTTTATAAAGAAAGTTGAATATTTTATTACATATTAACTGAATTTATATACAGTATTGAAACAAACATAAAAATCCACAATAAGTTAAACTAATTTGAGTTCATTGAGAGTTGAAATAGACAATATGTATTAAGAACATTTATAAAAAGTTTACTGTACATTTTTCATAAGAAGTCTATTCTATTTTTAGTATATATCATTTAAATAAAATTTACAGCCACAATGTATAGACAGAAATACTATTTGCCAAAAATTCAGATTTTATGTTGCAAAATAATATAATTTAAAATTAAACTTTTACAATATTATGATATATTAGTCATGATTATTATCTTCTTTTAGATTTTAGAAATTATTTTAGAAATATGAAAACCGAACATATTTCCAAACTTTCTCATGATCAGTTGAATACTCAAACGTAAATCATTATATTTCTATAATAAAAATAATTAATGCTGTGTTTGAGAAGGCTTGTGGTATGATTTTAATAATTTCATGTTTCAACAGTATCATTTTTTACATATGAGTAAAAAAATGAGAAAGGAGTTCTGCCAAGTTTTCAATAAAAATGAAACTGTAATTTTGTCAAATATAAAAGTTCCCTTGCGTTGAACAAAACTATTTCTTATTTTAAAAAAACAGAAAATATGTATATTACATTATTTTAATATTATATCTATAAACATCTCTCTGAAATGTTTATATATCAAGAATTGAAGAAACATAACAACAGTCTGGAACTAATACTAGATTTAATATACCAAAAATAAATGAACTACTCTTTATAAAGATTTAATGAAACACTGTGACTGCATCGAATAATCGTGATTGTTCAATTAGCAAGGAAACAAACGACTTAGAAAAATGAATTATAGTCTAAATATTTTCGAAACAATTTGGTACTTGCAATGGAATCGACACTGTTCCGTCATCGCCGTAAAAGGCAACTGATCAGAGTATTTCTGCAATCGAATCTAGCCGTACCGTTTTTCGTATTAACGAGCACGTAGTATATGTTCAGTCTCCAAAAGGTAGACAGACATAGGCAAGGTAAAGTTAGCGAAGCCCCCAGTGACGTATTGGCGGTAACAGGGGTGCCGATAGCAGGCATCATGTCACTTCCATCGCTAATGAATTTGTTTTATTTGCCCGTACAAGCTGTTGCTGCTGCGGTTTACCATCGCAAGTCGCATTTTCCACTCCATCCACCTTCATATCCAAATTTTCACTATAATCAATTACGGAATCATTGATAATAAATACTCTCGAAGAAAATAGTCAATGAAACTAAATCCCTAGACAATAAATTAAGAATATAATGAAACTCACCTATTACTATTAAGCGTAATTTCCCCGGACGTTGGGATTTGTTGCGCCTGACTTTGCGTCTGTTGTTGCTGCCTTGCGAGACTCGCCAATTTGCTCTGTGCGATCAAGCCAGGTAGCAGATTGGACGGCGGATGTTTTTGTGGCAGAACTATCGTTGACTGATTATTCACGACGTGAGTGCTATTTGAAAGATTATTAGAGTTATTTATATGAGGCAACGGGCCATTTTGATGTCCATTGCCAAAGTTTGTAATTGTTCCACTAGTTGTGGTACTTGCACTAAACACTCTGACTCCAGCACTACCACTGCCACAGCTGCCGCCATTCCTATTATTCGTTGGACTAGTCAAGGACTTAGACAGGATGGAAACAGGACTGCTGTTGTTTGGTAATTGTCTGTGTTGCTGCTGTTTAGACTGTGTTTCAGTAACAGCACTTGCGCATTGCGTAGATACTACACTCGACGTTGTGGGTTGGTTGGTTATACACGAGAAAGACGACGGGATTGTAGAGCTTGTAGAAGTATTTACAACACTAAAACCACTACCACTGCACTGAGGCCGACTCTGTTGTGTTACAGGCTGTGCAAAAAGACTGCTAAGTAGCGGTTTCACAACGAAACGTGAACTGCCCAGTTCGTTTGTCCGTGTATCATCAGAGTTATTATCCGATAGTCCACTAATACACGCACTACCAGTGATACTCGCCACGGCAAGATCAAAGTCCGACAAAGTATCCACCGAGAAATAATCAGCGATATTGAATTCTGATGTAAAGGGTGGTTCATCTCCCACTCGTTCAGGCTCTACTTCCACACAGATAGATGTTGCTTCAGGTGGGAACGGATATGGAAGCGGTTTCGATGGAATCAATGTTGGCTCTATATCTGAGTCCGTATCACTACTTTCTTCACTTGGACTATGCACTGACAGAGGTGGAGTCTTTGGTCGAAAGTGTAACCTGTGTTACAAATAAATTAATAAATCAATTTGTTTATTGTAAAATTGAACTTCTGCATTGTTAATCAACATACCACTCCTTTTTGATAGGAGTTGTTGACGCGGCAGTTGTATCAGTTTCCACTGGTTCCCGTTTTGGTTGATGTATCGTGAAGTCTAGAGAAGACCACATATCATCCATATCGGTCGAACAGCGGTCCAATATTACTCTGAGATTGGACATAACATTAAATAATATAGGAGACACATCACTTTTATGTAGTTTTTTGTAAATGTTACATCATACCTGCCACCTCGACCAATTCGTCGTCGTGCAAAACCAATACATCTTGGTACTGGTTTGCTGATGCTAGTCAGTGCAAACCTATACTTCTTATCAGCCAAGCCCCCTTCGCTTTTATCACACCAAGGCCAATTTCCAAATCCACCTGATACAGGCTGCAAAGAGAAAAGCTCTATATCTACAATCCTGAAAAAAAGAACTTTAACACTAACACTAACACTAACACTTTAACACTAACACTATTTCCACAAAATGATTCGTGATAATTCTCATTGACACCCATGATTAACCCACATTAAACAATAGCTCATGTAAAATTAAACAACAGTCCTGTTTCAAATCCACATGATATTCGGTTTACATCTGTTTATATCAGAAATCGTACATAGAAAATAAAAACGTGTGAGAACTCAATAGCACTTACTGGTAGATAAGTGCTATTTCTATTTCGTCGGAAAGTGAATTGACCCTCATCAGCGGTGTCTTCGTCATCGCGATCCGATGGAACAGAGGGTTGTGAATGAGGATGTGAATGAGATGGAAGTGAGCTATCTTCGTCTGAACTTAGTAGCGGGTCCAGCCCGCCTCCAAGCACACCAGGCCGATTTCCTCGACAACCTCCACTACCTGTTCCACCCCGTACACCATTATCTTCCAAACTCCCTCCTCTGCTATCAGTTTTATGTTTTCGTTTCTTGTATTGTCTTTTTTCTTTCCTGGGTACCACATCGTCCTGAAACAAACAATAATATATCATCATTAGTAAAATTTCACTATCAAAAAAATTTTAAAAATACCTACTTTACTACAAACTTTATTTGCCCAGTTTTGATGAACACCAAACTGATTTGTAAATAGTGGCGCGAAAGCAGGTCTCGGTGTTTTTAACGCTGATACTTCTGCCAATATTTGTCCATTAAAGTCTTGTGCCTGATACCTGTGCAGTTTTTTAATTATACAGGCTGTCCCGTAATTAGTTTTAGCACAATTAGCACAATTGTTTACAGATGATTTAGCACAATTAGCACAATTGTTTACAGACGATTCTACATAAAAAGATAAGTCGAAAAGACAGAATAAAATTTTTTTATTTAACGCTTCGTTCTCGAGAAAACCGAACTTGAAAATCTTTCAAATATACTTAAATTTGACTAATTTTGAACTAGACAAGAGTGAATAATCGGAAAGAGATTATGCGAAAATAAGTCAAAAGTGTAGAATACAATTTTTTCATAAAACGCTTCGTTTTTGAGAAAGTTAAATTTGAAAATGTATTAAGTACCTAAATATTAAGCCAATTCTTAACACATTCAAATTTTATTTTCTTGAAAACGAGATCTTAAATTTTATTCTACATTTTTTACTAATTTTTAGATGTAGCCAAATTCAAGAGTATACTTGATAAATTTTCTCCAAAACAAAGCTTCAAATGAAAAAAATATATTTTTTCTTTTTGATTTATTTTTTCACGTAAAATCATCTCCTACACTGTTGTATTACCAGTTACACACTATATGAAGTTCAAAATCTAATTTCATAGAGATGAAAGTATAAAAAGTTTGGAAGATCATGTTCACACCTTTTTTCATATACTTCAATCGTAAGATGTAAATGTTCTCGCTTGGTTTTTTCTCTTCTTTTAACCATTTCGAGAAGGGTAACTGCTCTACTAAGATCTCTACGTAGCTTCAACATTTTTTCGTAACTAGTTTCGTCATTTTTACGATTTTTACGTGTTTGCATTTTTTCCGTCCTACGTCTAAACGCTAAATAAGGATTATTGGCAGCTGAACCAAACCGATGTTCTGTTTTTACCGTTAATAGAAGAGGATGTTGCTGAGACAAAAGAAATATATAGTAATGTTAATAAAATTTTATCAACAATTGTACTATATATATCATTGTAATTGTAATATATAAATAACATATAAAGAAAACTATAAGGTATAAAAACTTACTGTTTTAAGACGTTTATTCAACCAGTAATCAAACACAGCAATAATTAAATCATCATCCTCTTTTAGAAGTGCTTTAGCTTCATTGAGAGTAACTACAGTTTGTCCTGAACTTTTCTCCAAGCGATCCATCATTTCTTCAAATTGAAGAGGAGTCAGGTCCATTTTACGACTTTGTACTGCAACCCATTTTTCATCTTCTGAATCCATATCATAGTCTGGAATATCTTGTTCCATTGCAAAGGCTTTAGAAAAAAGGAATAAAATTATTAAATCTATCATATAAAGAATAACATTGATTATTAAAGATTATTAAAGCTATGTTTTCTTACGTTGCATATGTATAAGTTGACGAGGTAGCTTATAATCAGCTGGATATATCTTGTCATAAGCTTCCACATCTGTTAAATCAGTTACTTCAGGGGTAGGAATGATTAGACCCGTGCATATTGCTCTTTGCAAGTGATGTTCCTAGATAAATATTTATTGCAATAAATATGAGACTTTATAGAATATGAAATTATTTAAATTTTTACTTTTTCATATGCTACTATAAGAAACATAAGAAACATACAATAAGAAAATTAACACATTATTGATAGTATATTTGTAATATAACATTTAAACATGTTTTAACTAAGATCAAGTCAAATATCAAATATAGAGAATATTGATATTTTTATTGATAAAATTGGAACAAAATAGAAAATTATGCAAATGACATCTTTAGTACATTTAGACATAGGCTATACATTTAGAAATAGTAATACATATATTAATAAATATATTTTATTAGCATTGTTTCAATGAAATGCCACCGTTATAATGACAACTATGCTATGCTATTGATTGTTTATTGTTTATACATTTTTAAAATAGAAAGAACAAAAAGAAACAATAATTAAGAATTACATTGTAAAGTAACATGCTACAAAAAAGATACAACAATTGGAAAAGCTGTAACATGAAAATTTCTTATACGTTGAAACAGCAACGTTAAAACATGCATTTCAATCCCATGATTACTTTGATATACAAGATTGACAGCTGTCAATAATGATGTAACAAGATGAAAGAAAGTGCGAAGAACAATAATAACGTATAAAATATCGTAGTTAATTATGTTTAACAATAAAAAATAAGGAATTTCTGGGCATAATAATGGTAAAAGAGATGCCATCTGCCGGTTGTTTACGAAGACGTGGCTGAAAGTAAGATGGCGGACAGGGAAAACATGCTGGAAGAAGGCTGAACGTCCGACTTACACATTCCTCCTCCTTTTCCATGCCGCTGGGCATTTGGGGCACAGCACGATTAATGGCCGAGTAATCTGGCAGATCCGGCAGTTCCTCAGCCATATAAATCGGCATGGGCTTGGAAGCGTCCAGGGCACGGGCCCTGAACGACAGCTTGCTCATCCTGAGGCGGCTGGCTCGCGTGTTGACAACCGAGTTGGCTGGTGTCGAACCGTGAGGCCAGTCGGGTCGGCTCGGGCCTCGGACTTAAGGAACGTGAACCTGACTGGGCCTGGTTAGGGGCCCTGCGGCCGTAATACCCGGCACAGAGAGCGCTCAGGGCCTCATCGTTCTCCGGCCATCGCGCTGGAACACGGTCACTCAGTCACCAAACGAGATATATCACTTCGAAAACATGTTTGCGTGACACGGTCCCTGCTCAAAGCCATCATGGCCGACGCACAGCCATTTAACACGTTCAGCTCGAGCAGTTCCGCGATGCGACGTGCGCCGCGCGGGAATCGGCTTGCTACCGCCACCGGTCAACTCACGAGCGTTTATTGGACGCTTCGCGTTTTTCTTCGTTACAAGCCTCGTTCACACTACTCATTGTTCGTCGGAAAATTAATCGAATCTTTTACACATATTTCAGTCTAAACATTGGAATTGAATAATTGTACAAACACTTTGATAATTTTTTCAAACGTACAGCAACATGATAGAATTATCCGATGGTGTAGAAATTTTTTAAAGCTTTCTTAACCTAACACTGTACGTTCTACACAAATAAATAGATCTTTTTATCTTCTCGCTAAAAATTGGAGATGAATACACATTAGTTTACAGGTTAAAATATGTATTTTTTAACAATCCTTAGGTTAAGATTTTTTTCATCCCGTTAAGTTTTGTAAAAAATTTAGTAATTGCGAGATTAACTTATACTCGATAGTATAGTTGGAAGAACAAGTAGTAATAATAGAATTACGGGTCTCTATTATTATTATAATTTTCACGTACACTTGTGTTTCGTACTTTAAATGTCTTTAATTTGCGCACGCGTTACACATTTGAGGTATTTTAAATTTCTCACAGAGTACAAGAATCGGAAATTAGTTTAGAATTGCTTGTTTATTAACTTATTAAATGACGTTCTTTTTTCTTACAATTTTGATATTAAAATTAATGTTTTAGTTTAATTAAATATTTTTTGAGTGCATTTCAATCTTTGATAAAACAAAAGAACATTCCAACTATCAAAACTTCTTGAAACAATATATTTAGATATTAAAATAAAGAATAAAGTAGAAAAACTTGATAAAACAATGATACTATTAAATCATGGAAAAAGATAAAACGAAAGAAAGCGTTAATACCTACATTCTTTTCCACTTGAACAAAAACTTAGGTTAGATGCATTAACAAATACAACACATTGAAGCAACAAATCTAATGGTATAGTATTAATTGTAATTATTTGAAGTCAATTATAACGGAGGTTAATCGTTGAACATTCTATTTAATTAAAAGAAACTTTAATTGAAGTTAAATCATATTCCCGCGTAATCATTTTCCTGCGACATGGCGCAGAGTATTGCAATTCTTTCCGTGATTCCGAGGTTATCTTACCATCTTCGAATGAAACTTCCAAATTCAACGATATTTGACGTTTTTCCAGGTACTACTTTTGACATACACTTTTCCTCATATTCATAGAGCTCGAATTTCCTCAGCTCAAAAGATCTTTCGCAGCAAGCACGTGTTAAAACGCACTGTTACTACGATTTGCTTGAGCACTGTATTTGCGCATTTGGGTTTAGATATTGGCGGAAAACCCACCCAATTTAAATTTTCAATACATTCTTCAATTCGCATAAACTTAGAAACTATATTTTTCTGTTCATCATTCTTATGTAAACCAATTTCACTGTACAATGTAAATATCATTTTTCATTGAGGAAATCATTTTTCTTTTTTTTTTCTTTCAGATAAATGTGATACATTATCAAAATTACAAAATGCAGATATAGTGGTAACTGACTGTGATTTGTTTTTGCCATACACAGATAAATTGCCATCTGTAAAATGGGTACAAACAACATGGGCTGGTATTGAATCGCTAATTTCAAATCTGAGAGATAAAAAAATTAATTATACACTTACACGTTTCTCAGACGAGAGTCTTGCTTTAGCTATGTCTGAATATGTAATAGCACACATTTTTAATTTTGAACGTAATCAAAGACAGCAGTATCAAAATCAAGAAAATAAAGAATGGATAACGGATGGAAAAATTTCTGATTACAAACTTATTTCTGACTTATCTGTGGGTATTCTAGGGTTAGGAAATATTGGAAAAACAAGTAATTATATTATGAATTCTTTATATGTTATTACTATCATTATTAATGGATATTAGTTTGATTTTATAAAAATATATTTGTCATTTTTAAAGTTGCAGAAAAAATAAAAATGTTTGGTGCCACCATATGGGGAATGACAAGAACACCACTTAAGAAGAGATTAAATTATATTGACGAACATAGAACAATTGAACATTTGCCTGAAGTGCTAATAAACTGTGATTATATTATTAATGTCTTACCATCTACACCTAGTACTTTAGGTTTATTAAATGGAAATATGTTAGAAAATTGTAAAAATCGTGGTAGTATTTTTATCAATATAGGTCGAGGTACTATCATTAAAGAGACAGATTTATTAAATGCACTTGAGCAACAATGGATCTTAGGAGCAATTTTAGATGTGTTTGCAGAAGAACCATTGTCTGGAAAAAGTAAATTGTGGTCATTACCACAGGTAATTTAATGCGATGCATGAGCATTAATATTAATTAAAATCAAATCCAATTTTGTCTAATTAATAATAGAAATTTTTTTATTTAGGTTACGATTACACCACACACTTCAGGTGTAAGCCGTGCACAAGATATTGCAAACTATTTCGTTCAAAATTATCAAAGATACATTAAAGGTGAAAAATTGCTAAATATAGCAAATTTAGAAGAGGGCTATTAATTTCTCAACTTTTAGCTCGTAATAATCAGACGGATTGTCCGACACGTGCATTTATTGTTCGATATTTAATTGTGCAAAAGGTTAAATATTCAAATAATTTAATTATTTATAAATGTTTGTATCAAATTTTTTGTTACAAATCAAAATGTAATAATTTTGAAATTGTTATAATTTATAAATATGAAAACAATTGCTTCAATAATTTATTATGGGTGATGATATATGTTACTTATATAAAATATTTTTTAAAAGTAATTATTCTCCTTTTTCAATAACTGAATCTGGAGATGGTTTTAAGCCTCGTATACTGAGATCATAAACCACTTCTTCTACTTTTTTAACAGCATATTTTAAGCCATCAAAACGTTTCCTTAGAGAATCATTTTTCAAATTTAAAATTCTAAAGCCTGCATTTAAATCATTTACAAATCGTGCTATTTCTATAGGTCGATTATAATCACCATTGGTAACGCTATTTATAGCAAAACGACTCTGAAATGTAATATTTAAATGAGTAATTGTCGCAAATGTGTTATATGGTATGCTTACCAGTTCTGCAGACAATTGTAATAAACCCATTAAGTAGTCTTCTAAATCCAAATGAAAACCGTCTTCTCTATTATTTTTAACTATACATGCAATATCAAAATACATTAGCCATAAATAAATGAAAAAAGTTTCTTTTCATATAATTACATACCTCCTAATATTTCTGCAACAGTTTCTTTAGTAACCAAAATTTTAATTTCTAAATATATTATTAAAGAAGCTAAAAAACATAATTTTTGCGTGACAAAACGCCACTGTTCATGAAATCTATAATATTGATCTTGCGGTATGACTTTTGCTAGTTTTGCATAATTTTTACGTACATCTATAAATAATTCTCTTGATGTTGCACAATACTGAGATACAACTGCAAATGAAAAAAAGATAATAACTACTTTGGTACTTTCACAATCAATTGAATACACATACTTATGTTTTCTTCCATGTTATTTTCATTATGTATGTTTTGTAATATCATCAAAATGTCTCTGGCACTCTTTTCAAGATTTCTTACAATAGCACGGATTTCCTTTGGCATAAAAAAAAAATTTTAGTATATTTTCTTCATATAGCATGTCTTTAATTAATATTAAAATGCATTATTTTAAAAAATTTATAATGGTAAGATTACAGTGTATCTTAACCTAAAACATGTACAGAATAAACATGAGAATAAATATGTATTTAATAAAAATAACTAATTATGTTGTAAATTGCAAAATAATTTGTAGAAACATTTTTTAAAAGTAATATTGCAATTATTTAGCACTTACATTATCTTAGTAACATAATTTGAAGATTAGATGACATACTATTAATATATACCTCACGCAATTCCTCTTCATTGTTTAAATAATCCTGGAAAGAATTAAAAATTTCCGATATTCTGACAGCCATATTTTTGTAGTTTCGATTCTGTAGTTTTTTTTAAAAATCTTTTTCAAAGAAAGTACATATGCTTTAATCGTTAATGTTTTAACAAAACACTTCAGTATATACATACACGATAGTAAACGATCCTTGCGATAGATGGCGTCATTATATTTGTTAAATTTCAAATAAAAATTTATTTACTATTGTAAACTATAAATATATTAAATATAGTCATATTTTCTCTGCACATATTTTCATTTCACTTTTATAAAAACAAACTATAATAGATATTAATATAATTAAATAAAAGCTTGATATTTAACTTTTTTTTATTTTTCTCATTAATAATTAATAATTCTCAAAAATGCCATAAATCACCGCACATATAAAAATTATTAATGCACCGTATGCATTATCGTAATTTACTTGTTATATATCGATTAGAATTCTTCAAATACACACAACTTTTTTTGTATTGCTTTAAATTCTAATTAGTCTCATAAGAAACATCGAAAACTTAAAAGATCCTTCCTCGAGGAATTTTTTTCTCGCCATTAAATGAACATTTAATATATTGATATTGACTGCTATGTATATGAATTACTTTCTATATAAAATAATACGATAAATATTAATTAATATAAATTCAAGCTGATTAATGAGATCTAATAGATTAACATAGTAGAGTAAATAATTATTTATTATAAGGATAATAGAGTGGCGATAGGGATTTGCACAGTTTGGAAACTGAGTCCGTAAGCGCGCAAGCTGTAAGCTGCAAGGTCTCGCATGGTATATAAATAGAAACCAGTAGGTCCTGCTGTGAAGTCGAAGGTGGTTGGAATTCTACAGGATGCCTCTACGTAGTCCGTAGAGGATACCTCAGGGAATCTGCGGGCGTGTCATTGATCCCGATACACGCGTTCAAGTATCCCGAACGAGACTGGCTTTATTGAAAAGTTCACGTCCACGTTTATGAGCTCGCAAAAGATCAAATTTATTAGAAATCCCTGGATAAATCTACTCGATAGAAAGATTTTGTAATATTAATATTGAAAATGTTCAAATTCATTTTTGCCATTGAGACGCCTAATCCTCTGAAAATCGAGCACTGTATTAAAAATAATAATGAAACTCTATAATAATAATTAAATAGAAAATTACACTTAGTTAATGAAAGATAATTGAAGCAATTAGAGAAAAGTTTTCACTATTCAGCCATCAAACATTCGGAAAAATAGACGTCCTTGATGATGACTTTCAAGCTTGAACATCTTCACGCTTCATCCACGATATTCGAATATCTCGCATTACAATAGAACTCGTGGCCAGGAAGTTCTACAAGAAGTAATGCGCTCTGTTAGTTTGAATGATTACCAATTTAATTTTAATTAATGCGTCTTTTAGAATTATTAATTTCAGTGATTAAGAGATTATCTTGCAATTTCTTTTTCTCTAAAATATATTTCTATTTGTGTTATATTTATATATATTTTTTTAAATAAATATTATAACTTTAATGAATGCAAATAAATAACAATAATAAATGCGACTTCCAATAGAATCTTACAGTCAGAGGGTTGACCGCTTCATAGAATGTATTTCATTTGTCAAAGTAATGATTTTTGTGCCCGTTGATCTGCTCGAGATGTAAAACGGTTTGCATCACCATGTATCTACACGCAAGTGCGAGCAAATGGATCGAAGAGTATCTCGTCGAGGAGAAAGAGGACGGTGAAGACGAAGAAGAAGAAGACTGGATGACGACGATCCGTTAAACTTGCATTCCTCAAGGCGCCAATCTTAATAAAATCTTGGTACCGTAGGCTGTCGTAAATTTTTGGTACTATCTGCACCGTGCGTGCAGCTGTTCAATACGGTGCATGCGATTTATTTTTAGTCGTGTAGTCTTATCTTTCAAAGATTGTGCCTCGGGTGTCCTTTTGAAATATATCTTACCGCAACCAGTAAAATTTACTTTGCATTTGAGACCAAGGAAGAATCACTAGAAATTTCCACACATCGAACAAACTTTAATCTGGCACACCATCTTCTGTTGGAAAGAAAATTGATAAAAATTAAAAACATCCACCTTCTTTCGAGTCGGGAATAAATAACAATAATTATAGCAAGATGAATATATATAAGTTGTCGTGAAACGAGCTTTTAGATGTTCGGCAAATTTCACGATTAATATTCATGCGTTTTCATGTTACTGTCACGACTGTTACACGAGGCGTAAGAGGAATCTAGTAGCTGCTCAATATTTGTACGTTAAACAGGTTTTCTTGCTCGTTTTCGTCACGGCAATGTCAATACGCAGATAGAGATATGCAAACACGAATACATCAACGACAAAGGCAATCGTCCGATTCCTTTAGCGTCCTTATCAAATATGAAACAGGTATCGAGGCGTTGCAGCTTATTAAACCGTATTGCTTCCTCTTTGCTATCGTGACTATTTTTATCTCGTACGATATAACGTGCCGAAGAGAATAAAAACGTTGCATTTGCGGATCGCAAAATTAAGCAAGCAATATTATACGAGATACAAATTCAGTTGGAAACCATACTGTGAACAGAACACACTGTTGATGTGATCAACAGTTTAACGTTCAGCATATACATGACACAAGTGAAATGCATCAGCATAAATGTCAGGGTCATCTGCATACATAGCAGATATTCAGACATACGTCGAGGATTTTACTGAATTAACATCCGCAGATACTAACTTGACGATATATTAAAAAACCGTTCGCGAAATATTGAAAGATTCTATAAGATTTTAAAACAAGTAAATCGACATCGAATTTGTCGAGTGACGACTAATAAAATTGAATTGACAAAAATTTAAGGATTAAAGGATAAAACAAATTTGATTCGTACGATCACTGAAGGGGGGCCTTCGTATGGGTGGCGCCGTGTTAAAGAAATGCCCCTGGGCACTACCTTTTTACGTCATTGCTGGAGAATTTCCTATCTGCTGGCTGCTCGCCATTGCGGATCACAGTACTGGCATAATATCGAACCGTTAAGACCAAGAGCACAACGGAAGAATCCACGGAATCCAAATAAATGTCTAGAAATTATATCGTGTCTTACAATTAGTCTTTGCAACATTAGGAAAGTCTTTGCGTCGCGAAGGCACACGGAGTGAATATCAATTACTTAAAGGCAACAATTCGTTCAGCGCGACATATTTCGCAATTTTCTTCCAACTTTCAACTTTCAATGTTACCATCTTCCCTGTTACCACCTTCCACCATATTTCTATGCAATAGTGTACCGATAAATATTGATACTATTCTGCGATGTCATTTTTCTTACAGGTTCCTTGATCAATGATCTTTGGAATATAATATCATTAATCTAAAATGAATAGATAAGAATGTAAAAATTGTTATTTTAAAATGGGAAAAATAAAAATTATTGTATATATGATAATATAATGATTACGCTGATTATGGTGATCATCCAGAAAAGTCCTGATGTTGTCAGCCTTTCTATTGAGTGAAGACTAAAACCGTCGTATAAATATAATATAATACGTTTGATTCTTTCTAAGATACAAGATATTTTTATACAACTAATGATTAATGATAACTTGTGTTTTAATGCAAATAAAAAGAAATAGAAAATGACTCTGCAAACAAGGAATTAAGAGACAATTTTCTGTAGAAAGATATCAAACGACACCAGTACTTCGCGTTCAGACACGAAAAGCAAAACACATCGGCAGGGAACCAACAGGTTTGACTTGCCGGACTAGTTAATAAATTACCGTAGTCCGCCGCCATCTTCATCTTCCAAGTTGCAAATGAGAATTCGGAATACTGACTACCAATTCGAAATAAAGTCTCACACTGGCTGCAAGCTAGTACTATATGCAAGAAACTGAAACAGTTTCTATGAAAGAAATACGATCAAATTTTTCGATAAATTGATCAACATCTTGTATAATTGTTATCAAACTCGTTATGTTTTACGAAAAATCTTCTTTATATAAATTGCATCTATGTATCTGCATATTGAGAAATTCTTCTACTATGAATTCATTCAAAACTTGCTATGGCTCCAAAAAAACTTATGGACCACCCACAATTGAGATACGATCGCAGTTATAGCAACCTTGAGCTTATATCTTCTCCCTTTTTTCTATCTTTACTTTGCAGGAAATTTCGGTGTTTCGCTTCCATGTTCTGAATATCCTGGACAAAAATTATAAATACACGTTTATGTAAATAATATTACAGGAAATTGATAAAATTATCAATTTTACTCCTGAGTTTTTGTTACGGTAATGTACAATTAATTTTTATATTATATATAATGTGTGCATAACGTGGATGCATTTTTCGCGCATCTGATGCGGCCACAAATAGCATAAACACGTACATTAGCGATGCAGTTGGGTAAGTGGGTAGGCTCACGTAGTTCGTACGACCTTCATAAAAACTCGTCGATCAGAGATTGCCGGGAATGTTGAGTGAGAACTCGCCGTCTACGGGGTGGCGAATAAAAAAGTAAGCGCCTACCTTGGCAAACAAGACAACGACGCTAATTACTAATCCGAGTAAATGACAGTGCAATGATGGAGGTAAAAAACAACGCTAACTGTGCGAGGAAATGTACTACGAAACAAATATGTCTACGACATCGTCACATATTGAGTTTTGCTGCGAAAAAACCAGATCTCCGTTTATGGATCGAACAGACCGAGACAGGACTGTAATTTATGGAACACCGTTGTTCTTCATTTCCGTTAACGAACT